CCGCGCGCGCGGCGGCCCAGGCGCATCTTGCATGGAACAACACAATGCGCGAGGGCGGCCCAATCGCATCTTGTATGAAAAAAACACCATGCGCGAGGGGGCAGGGCCGCCGCGCGCGCGCGGCGGTCCAGGCACATCTTGTATTGAAAAAACACTATGCGCGAGGGGGCCGGGGCCGCCGCGCGCGCGGCGGCCCAGCCGCATCTTGTGTGGAAAGAAAAAACTCAATGCGCGAGGGGCCAGGACCGCCGCGCGCGCGGCGGCCCAGGCGCACCTTGTATGGCAACGAACCCAATGCGCGAGGGGCCAGGGCCGCCGCGTGCATGGAGCATGGGGACTGAATGACTCAACAAGTGCGCGGGTGACACGTGTCACCCGCGCGCGCGCGCGATGGATCCTCTATTGGTTTTATACAATCGCCACCCGTGTTCAGTTGAAAACCCAATGTTCAAAACCCAATGTAAAATTTCATTCTCTGGGTACAAGAAGCGGCCATACAACAGTGGGTCATAATAAACTATACAATATGACAAGAGAGCGCGCGCGATGCACCCTGTATTGGTTTTATACAAGCGGCCCCCATGCTAAGTTGAAAACTCATGGTTCAAAACCCACTGTAAAACTTCATTAGAAGCGGCCGCACAAACGTGGAATATGATAAAATATACAAACTGGCAGGAGAGCGCGCGCGATACATCCTGTATTGGTTTTATCCAACCGGCCCCCATGTTAAGTTGAAAACCAAATGTGCCGAACCCAATGTAAAATCATTCTCTGGGAACAAGAAGCTGCCATACAAACGTTGAATATAATAAATTATACGATATGACAGGAGAGCGCGCGCGCGGGTGACACGCGCCACGCGCTCGCGCGCGTACGCGCGGGCCATACATCCTGTATTGATATTACACAGTCGACCCCCATGTCAAGTTGAAAATTCAATGTTCTCTGGGTACAAGAAGCGGCCATACAAACAGGGAATATAAGAGATTATACAACATGGCAGTAGAGCGCGCTCGCGCGTACGCGCGAATCTTTAAAACCAATACAGGATGCATCGCGCGCGCGTATGCGCGCGCGCTCTCCTGCCACATTGTATATTTTCTTATACTCCACGTTTGTATGGCCGCTTCTTGTACCCAGGGAATGATTTTTTACATTGTGCTTTGAACATTGAGTTTTCAATTTAACATGGGGGCCGATCGTATAAAACCAATAGATGATGCATCGCGCGCGCGTGCGCGCGCGGGTGGCACGTGCACCCGCGCGCGGGTGCATATTTTATTATATTCCACGTTTGTATGGCCGCTTATTGCACCCAGAGAACTGTTTTTACATTGGGTTTCGAACATTAGGTTTTCAACTCAACATGGGGGCGACTGTATAAAACCAATACAGGATGCATCGCGCGCGCGTACGCGCGCGCTCCCCTGCCATATGGTATTGATCATTATACTCCACGTTTGTATGTCCGCTTCTTGTACCCAGAGAATTGATTTTTTACATTGAATTTTGAACGCTTGGTTTTCAACTTAACATAGGGGCGATGATATAAAACCAATACAGTATGCATCGCGCGCGCGCGCGGCGGCCCACGCGCATCTTGTGTGGGAAAAACCAAGCGCGAGGGAGCGAGGACCGCCGCTCGCGCATCTTGTAAGGGAAAATACAAAGCGCAAGGGGCCATGGGCCGCCGCGCGCGGCCCACGCGCATCTTGTGTGGAAAACGCCAAGCGCGAGGCGCCGCGCGCGCGGCGGCCCACGCGCATCTTGTATGGGAAAATACAAAGCGCACAGGGGCCATGGGCCGCTGCGCGCGCGGTGGCCCACGCACAACTTGTGTGGAAAAGGCCAAGCGCGAGAAGGCGAGGGCCGCCGCCGCGCGCGGCGGCCCACGCGCATCTTGCATGGAAAAATACAAGGCGCAAGGGTCCTGCTGGGGACCTGCTAAGGCCCTGCGAGGGTCCTGCTTGGGTTCTGCAGGGGTCCTTCTGGAGCCTTCTAGGGTCCTGCTAGGGTCCTGCGAGGATCCTGCCAACGTCCTGCCAAGCTCCTGCTAGGGTACTGGGGGGGGGGCTCGGGTCCTGCTAACCAGGGTCTTGCTAGGGTCCTGCTGGGGCCCTGTTAGGGCCCTGCTCGGGCCCTGCTAGGATCCTGCTAGGGCCCTGCCAAGGTCCTGCTAGGGTCCTGCCAGGGTCCTGTTTCGCGTTCGCGCCTTTTCTGCGTCACGACGTTCCAGGACGGCCCAAGAAGCCCCCAAGACCACCCCAAGACGACCGAAGAGGCCCCCAAGAGCGCCCCAATACCGCCCAAGAGAGCCCGAAGACGGCCCAAGAAAAGGAACACGAACCGAAAATCCTCCTCCTCCGGTATAGAACCCGGGGAAGGGGGGGCTACCCTAGGCCCTACCTACGGCCCTAGGGTAGCCAGGGTGGGGCCTACCCAAGGGCCTAGGGTAGCCTTACGTAGGGTCTACACAAGGCCCTAGGGTAGCCTAGGGTAAACCTACCCAAGGCCCTAGGGTAGCCTTGGGTAAGGCTTACCCAAGACCTACACGGTTACAATAGCACTCGTGCTGTACAAGTTAAACTTGGAAACGCATGGAACAGAAGGCCTACGGTAGGCCTAGGGGAAGGGCCTAGGGTAAGCCTAGGGTAGGCCAGGGGAAGAGGGTAAGCCTAGGGTAGGCCTAGAATA